AGGAAGGAAGGAAGGAAGGAAGGAAGGAAGGAAGGGAAGGAAGGAAGGAAGGAAGGGAAGGAAGGAAGGAAAACAGTGGGTACACAGCACATCCACGGCCCCGTCTTTGCATTTGATTGCATTTGCAAATACCTGCGGAGCACTGCTGGAATTTCCCATGAAAGAAAACACCAGGGAAAGAGCCAAGGTTGTTACCACCAGATTTCTGAATCCCTACAGGAAAAAAATGGCAGAAAGTCATTTATTTCTGTGCCTATGGGAGCTTCCAATTCCTTCCTCAAGGCCTGGACAATTACAAGCCCCTTCCTTTTTGCTATGTTCTGTTTTAGCACTCAGTGTGTGGGGGAGAAGGGAGTTCCCCAGTTTATCTTCTAGTTAATCCACAGAGCTCTTTTTCTTTAAAAAAAAATCATTTAGATATACATTATTTTCATTATTTAACTCAAATGAGGAATTGGGTGAATAAGTGAATCTTTTTCTTAGTAAAATCAAGTGATTCTGATATATTAAAAGCATAATGTTTAAGCATCCTTGAGCCTCTAAAACACTTACTAAACATAAAAGAGGTAGAAATCAATTCAGCTTTTCATAAAATAGCTTTAAAAAATCTCAAGTAAATAAAACCTTTACTTACCTTCATGTTCTGCTCCTTTCCAGAATCTGCAACAAGTATTACTTTACCTGTGAGTTTTCTAATCTTGTTCCGAGGGTGGGGCTTTTAAATCTCAGGGTCAGGGACCCCTCCTGATCTTCCATTGAGTTAGAGTCCACAGGGACTTCATGTCAGTCTTCAAGATTGAAAGGATCTGATGATGCCTCCTGGGAGATTCAGCTGCAGGAAGCAGAGGAATGATTGATGAGTGGACACTGTTTACGGACCACATCATCCAGGAGATATTCTGCATATGTCTGCATCATAACCTTTGCTTTTCCTACTAGCTTCCCAAGGCATCACCATCATCACCATCATCACCATCATCATCATCATTATTAAAGCAAATTGTTAATAACTCCAGGCAGAGTCGAAAGTAAATGGACAAAGTAAGAAAACTTGTCTTAGGTAACTAGCTATTGAACTATCACTATTAACCAACACTGATGACTAAAGAAGCATCATTTGGGTAGAAATGAAAAGATTAGGGAATCACAGTGGAATTTGACATCAGTCATTCACTTAATTATCTGCTCAGTTATTTAACAATATTTATTGAATGGTTACTGTGTATCAGACATTCTTCCTTTTAGTTCATAGGACACAGCCATGTATTAAAAAGACAGATTTCTGCTTTGATCATGCCTGTCTTCTAGTTGGGAGAGAAATACTTCAAACTGGTAAATAAGGTAAGTACAGAATTTTTACTTGCTTTATAAAGGAAACATAAGCAAAATGATGTGATAAGGTATGTGGTAGGCTGTTTTAGGGGAGGTAAAAATCCAGGGGGTCTGGTAGGATAAGGTAGAGTTAGACTTGGGATAAAGTGGGATGGGAATGAATATTGCATGCATTCCAGGCAGAGGAAAAAAACAGCAAAATCTTGGGATGGCAAAGAGCTTGACTCTTTGGCTTGCTGGAGGAACAGAAAGAAGACCAGTGGAGTCAAAGCTGTGTGGGTGACAGGCGACAGTGCTGTGAACTGAGGTTGGAGAGGGAAAAAATGGGCCAGTTCATATGGGAACTTGGTTATAAGCAAAAGATGATGATGGCTTTGACTAGGGGAGTGCTTGCAGAGAATGGAGAGCTGTAATGAACTGGGAATATGTGTTGGATGTAGAAAATATGAACCTGTGGATAAATGAGATACAAGAATTTGAGAAAAATAAATCAAGGATGATTCTTAGACTTTTGGTTTAAATAGCAGGTGCATGATGAAACCATTTTTTGAAATTGGAGAGACTTCATAAGGAACCAAGTAAGAAAAGGAAATTAAGAGTTGTCTTTGAATGTATTAAAATTAAAATATATATTACACAACCAAGTAGAAGTGCAAAGAAGACATTTAAAGATGCAACACTCTGTAGAGCTCAGCAATGGGGTCACCTATAGATTTCTTCTAAGGGCAGGAATGATTGGTTTTAAGAATTTTGAGAATTCTGAGAATTGTAAAGTGGGGGGAAAAATTGGAGATTGAAAGAACACTTAGGAAGATAATAGAGTTAAAGAGAGGAAAAAGATAGAGCATGAACAGAGAATGAGACAGAAGGAACACCAGCAAGGGAAGTGGAGGTGAAAGAAGGGAAAAAAGGGAGAAATTCTAGGGGACCATGAGGCCATGGGAGCCAGGAGATCATCCAATGACATTGAAAGGTCAAATTGATGAGAGCTAAGAAATGTGCGTCTGATTTGGGAATATGATGGTTTTTGAGGACTGCAGCTAGATTGGAATGGGTTGAATAGGATATGAGGAAATAAAGGCAAGTGTGGACAACCTTTTTTAAAAAATTTCACTAAAAAGGGGAAAGGAAAAATAAACTTAAAAAAAAAAGATCAGATATATGAGTGTGGCAGAGATGTATTACTCTTTTCAACATTTCAGTGACATCTGAATTCTTTTATTTTTAGGGAATTTCTAAAATTCCCTAAATGATAAATTATGATTCTTGGTGGGAGGCAGTCTTTCTTCTGTTGTAGAAGCTGAAAATGCCAGATGCTCTTTCCCAGCCTCCCTATTAGGTCGAGTGTGGGCACATGACTTAGGCTTCACCGATCAGATGTACACGCTTCCTGGAGCTATGATGGAAGGAAGTGGGGATCAGGATAAACATTTTCTGGCACAGCAGTGGGTGTAGTAAGTTTCAGTTTGTGGGGGGCAATACTACAATGCTAGTGACAGATTCTAACATCCAGTGTTAGGGGGATGGTGAGACCACAAGCAGTGTCCTTTAAATAAAGTCCTCTTTTGCTTAAACCAGCCAAGTTTGTTGGTTTCTCTTGATGACAGCTAAGAAACCATTTGCAGAACATGTAAGCTGATGGGGACGGTCAGTAGAGAAGGAGAAACTGATGCTGTGGAAGAGAACTGCAAAAGGGAACTTGTAGAAGGCAAGAGGAATAGGACCTAACTATGTGAATATTCAGTTGAAATAGGTATATACACAGGGAGATACTGAACAAGGACCCAAGTAGCCACTGTATGCTAAGGTACCATGGATAAGAGAGATGTTCTCTCTACTGAATGTTAGAGCAGCGCTCCGCAGGTCTTAATGTGCTTTTGAATCACCTGGGAATCTTGTTAAAAATGCACATTCTGATTCAGTGTAACTGGGGTGGAGCCTGAGCTTCTGCATCTGTAATAAACTCCCAGGTGATGCTGCTGGATGCTCTTCCACTGATCCTTGGACATTTTGAGTAGTGAAGCTTAGAGGATATAAAACGTGGTAAAAGCAAAGCATAGAGTCTGCGTGACTGGGAGGATGGCTAGCAATAGAAATGTCAGGGAGTATGGAGAGAAAACAGAAGAATTTGGTTTGGAAGTGAGTTTTGAGGGGTGGTCCTATCTACCTGCAAATACTTGTCTAAGAGAGACTGGGGTTTGGGCGCCGGATATTTGGACTTGACGATCATGTACAGACAAGAAAATTCAGATCTGGTTAGTAAATGAGAATGAAATATAGAAAGTAGTTTGTAGGTAGAAACTTGAGGAATATTTACACCTTTTAAAGAAAAACTGAAGCAGGAAGGAGCCAGAACCATTAATGTAGTGTTTGCCACTGTTTTACACCGAGAAGGAAATGATAAAAACTAAAGACTGAAATGTTACCACCATATATAGAGAAAATCTTAATATTCCTTTAAATATTATGTTTTAGGATTTTAGAATTCAATTTCAAAGGACTATAGCAACTTCTAAAAGAGAGCAATAAAAGATCATGTGTGTTTTTTTTATTTTAAATGAACTCTTAAGTGAAACCAGTTACTAGATTACCCTAACAACTAAAATGCTTTTTCCCCTCTCCATACCAAAAATACATAAAAGTTTTAGAAAGAGGGACAGGAAAATGAATTGCCAATAAAACTGAGGTTTAAATTTACAACCTGAAGGAAAAAATAATGTGATTTGTCTATAATGGTTTAGCTAATGAATTCACAAGCAGGTGTTTTACGTCAAAGCTGCCATTTTCAGCCTAATACGCACAAGTGAAGAGAATGGCTTTGACGTATTATCAATATTGTAGTCTTATCAAAAGTAACACGCCAGAATGTGTTTGTTCGAAAAGGGCATTGACTCCCAATAAAATGTTTTTGTTAAGTCACAAAATTTTAAGATTTTTATTTTCGGTCTAAACCTGGAGATGAGCTAAGAAGAGTAACTTAGTTGATTAAAAATAAAAAACAAAAAACAGTTGCTGCATAACAAACTACTAAATTTTATTATTCTGACATTATGAACAGGCAGTGGACGTTGGACAAATCGGATTCTAAACCTTTTTAAAAGGCATTGTCAATGGGGACCATTTTGCCTGCATCACTGATGTTATCTGAATGCTTCTAGCTGACTGCAGAGTGCCCAGGCCCTACTTAAACAATACTGAATGTCACAATTTAAACCGCGTTCTTACAAGATCGGTAATATTGTGTTCACACAGAAAACAACTCCTCTCTTTTTTAAAAAAAATTTTAAGCTTTTTTTATTTTCATTTTTTTAAATTGAAGTATGGTTGATTTACAATGTTGTTAGTTTCAGGTGTACAGCAAAGTGATTCAGTTACACGTATGTATATATATCTATTCTTTTTCAGATTCTTTTCCATTGCTATTATAATATATTGAATATATTTCCCTGTGCTATAGAGTAGGTCCTTGTTGTTTATCTGTTTTATATATAGTAGTGTATATCTGTTAATCCCAAACTCCTGACTTATTTATTATTATCTATTCCTAATTTGTTCCTTCTCTACAGTAAACAGCCTTTTTCATTTAATCAAAATTCCATTCACATCTGCATAATTACAGAAATGGGGTATGTAGGCTTGTAATATGTAAGAAAATCGCAGTAAGATGGTAATGAAACCCCATATTCACCTTAATATGTTTCCAATGGAAATACTGTTTTGAGTGTTTATTGTTCATTACTTTTCACTTGATTAAATGTTGTTGTTGTTTTGTTGTATTAAACCATGAATGTTTCAATTTAACAATTAAAAAAAACAGTCCCTTTTCCACTCTGGTAACCATAGGTTTGTTTCCAATGGCTGTGAGTCTATTTCTGTTTTGTTAAGTTCATTTGTATCATTCTTTCAGATTCCACATGTAAGTGATACCATATTTATTTTTCTCAAACAGTTCCTATCTTGGATGAGATTACCTGGACAACATAGCTATTAAGATACTAAAATATCCAAATGACCTCTTTGATGACAGAATAGAGGATTCTGGTACAGGATGAATGGGGTCTTTGGGTGCAATTCCTACTTTGGCTTTATTCTCTGCCAGGGCCAGTTAGCCCCATAGGTGAGTTGTCTCACAAGCAAGTGGAAGAAATAATTTCCCCAAAGGGCTGGCCAGTTTTAGGTTTACAATGTGCCAGCACCTTCATTTTGGACTTCCTGGCACCCAGAACTGTGAGAAATAAACATCTGTTGTTTAAGCCAGTCAGTCTATGGAATTTCGTTACAGTCTCCAAATCTCAGACGACCACCAGTTAATAGAAAAGTACCCTTTTATTGAGAGGTAAGACAAGTGTATTTACAATAGTCAATTGTTAGATCATATAATCTGTGAGACCTTTTAAAGCAGCAGTATCCCAGGAATTACAATTTATAAGGGGAAAAGAAAAGCATTCCAAATATGTTTCTGTTACAGAAAATACATTGGAACAATGCCAGAAACACTTAAGGCTAAGTTGCATTAGACCTTTTTCTTCCAACTTTATAGCAATAATCAAAGTGTGTATTTTTTTGTCACGAAGACAGAAGACTAATTCTGGAAAGGAAGGAACGATGTGATGTACATTGCTTTTTGTCAGAAGATGAGTATGTTTAAAAATAGAGCCTCATCAATGGTTCTGAATAAGAAACACACAACGCTGCCAAGCAGTCCCAAACTCACATTTGAGAAAACTGTGGATTCACTTAAGACTGCCAATTGCTCCAAGCCACTCGATCTTACTAACGACTGGGAGATGATCACATCCTTTACAGTCTGATAATGCTTTCTGAAATAAGATCGTTGAAAAAGAGATCTCTGTTACAGTGCAAAGAACATTTTGATAGAAATTCATGTCTACAAAGGAGTTGAATAATACAGATGTTCCTACAATAACAGATACCTTTCTCGCTCTAAAAAGGCAGAAGTATCTAGCCACTGGAAATAATATGGGTCAGTCAAAAATCTGTGTAATAGGGTCCTACAGGGCAACCTGTATAAGTCAATCCCCAAAATATGTATATATTTGACACTCTCCAAGTGAGGATATTACTTTTTTGAAGAACATCAGACACAACACTAGGATTCTTAACGTTCCATGAACTATTGAGGTAGGAGACTCATTTTGTCAGTAATCAATCTACTTTCACAGATTACATCCTAAGTCAAACGCCGGTACCAGAAAGACAGTAATCCACAAGACTGAGCCACCAGACTACATACCAAGTCTTTCTTTCTTTAGCTGAGCAAGGTTGGGACTTCTCTGTGCACCAAGAGACTTAACAAAAAATAACATAGGCTATAAAATATTTCGTAGACACGTTCGTAAATAAAAATCACAAATTTCGATTATGACTTTATGCATTAAAAAGCTTTGCAACTGTTTTAAAAAAGCAAATAGTACAATCGTTAGTGGTAAAACAAAGGACTATGGCTGTTGAGATGTGTTCCTATATCTACCCAAAGGGCGCCACCCTGGAAAACTACCACTGAAGAAGCAACCACTGTTTCCTACTGCTGCCTGTCAAGCAGCAACAGGTGAATAAACCACATGTCATTTTTGTAGTGTCATGTTGTGCAGAACACTATAGCCAGTTTAATTACAGTAAAATAAGTTTAGCGTGTGAACTCAGATATTCTCTCCATGAACCCCACGTGAAAAGCAAATGTTATGCATATTGATTTTTATGTTATGAAAAAGCTGAAAATTTGGGGAGAAGTCGGCTTATGTGAATAGCCTTTAAAAAAACAAGTGTAAGCAAAACCTTTTAACACAACTTAAACATTGCCAGTAGTTATTTTAATTTATGAAAAGCAAAATATAAACCACTGCTAAGATTCAAAAACTAAAAGAAAACCTGTATCATGACATGGAAAAATCCATTTGGTTTTCATCACTTAGTATCTTAAATAAAAGATGATTCGATGAGACAAGCTATGTAACAGATTCCTTCATGAGCAAGGATGCTTTTTGTTAATGACAGAGACAGACTCAGGTCAGGTCCCCAGGGGGTATGAGGATTTTCAGAGCGCGTTGCTGAACACAAAAGTGCTTCGTCAGCTGTAACTGAGAAACTACAAGCTAGTAAAGAATGACCTTTGCATATTCCAACAAAGAATATTGAGTTCAGATTTCCACCTGGCTTTACAATATTAAGATTGAGAAGAACCACAGAAGTTTTTTAACCATATGTTTACAAAAAAAAAAAAAAGTGATTCATACATCGACACTGGGCTTTCCTGGTTTTAATACAGTAAAATGACATAATCCAATCTAACTCATGCATCACTTTCAGAGACACAGTCCAGCTGGAAATATTTCCGCCACTGCCATGGACATTTCTAAAAAGCCAATGCCTCTGGGTGCTCTTGCATCTTCGAAAGAAAAAGAAAAGAAACAGACGCTACAGTTCTCTAAGGATGGCTGTGTTTCGCACATTGCGGGAAAACAAGAAAAGTGGCCTTCAAGAGTTTCAGTGTGCGCTGTAACGTAGGTTTCATCCCCTTCAGTTTGCTTGCTGCGTTCTTGCATCACTGGATTAGAAGCCTGTTTCCCGCTTCTTTGTTAACTGCTGTTGGTACTCTGTAGGCTGCACATTTTAAACTTCTGTAAAGGACATTACAGGCTATTTCACGTAATTTAATTTTGTGCTGAATATTCTTCAAAGGATTTTATAAATAATACAATATTTTAAATGAGTCTTCAATTCACTTGTTGTTATACCATATTGTTGCTTTCTCCAACTTTATCTACAAACTGTACAGAGAAGAAAAACGGGTAATTAAAAGAAAGCCTAGAACAGTACAGAACATTACTGTACCGCTTTAAATGTTGATTAAAAAACCCAGCTTTATAAGATTTGTGGAAATCTAAGGTATGACTGACAATGACTGATCCAGTACTGCTCACCACTGTCTTCTGACACATAAATGTGTATTAAAAAAGTTTTTTTCTAAAAGTTTTTGCATGGCATGTTATACATATGACTTTAAGGGTGCAGCATGAGAAATGCAACACAATGAATTAAAAAACTGGATTGGATAAAATGAAGTTAACACTGATAGCTCAACAACAACAAAAAATAAACAAAAAGCTGGAAATGTCGGCCACTCATGCATTAATGAACCCAATAAGGAATTTCGACTGACCATTACTGTGGATCTCGCCTGGGCCTATGTACTCTTTGAACAGATTTAACTCCATTAAGTTCAGTAATTAACAACAGCTATTGACTAACAATATTTTAAATGTGTATTCTGGACTTCAGACTGAAAGTGGCAGTGACATTCAAAACAAACTTAACGATGCAAGCATAAACTGAGAATTACGGAACGTAAGTTTTAACACACATTGATGTAAGTGGTTATTTACTTTGGTTACTCCACCCCAAATATAAAGCAACTGGACTTTTCTCCAGCATTCCAGATGGTGATGCAAACAAATGTTGAAACAAAGTTTAATTAGTGGAGAGAGTAAAAGTTACATAACCCAAGTGGCTATCATACTATCAAAATCCAGTAATCATTTAACCTTTTCTTTCACATTTTTCATTATTCACATTTTTACCTAAGTATTCATTACAATGAAGTAGTAATAATAGGATCCTTAATTTATAGTACTGGATGTCCATTTATGCAAATACTGAAAAATCCTTAAATTAAGGACATGATTCATGATTATAGCTCTTTAACTGTAAGTTTCAGTACATTCAAAAGACATGCTAAGTATAAATACTGACTATTGTATGAGTTTGGAGACTAATGCAAATGAAATCTGGATACACCCCTGTAAGCCCAGCCTTCCCACATGTTGTTTTATCACAAATAGGCAATCAGCACCCTGAAAAGAAAAGCTGCTCTCAAAATACTCATGGACTCATTAGAATTTTATGGTAAATTTAGGTGGTGAGAAAGCACAGCAGTCTCTCTTCAAAAGTAACTTTAAATACGTAGGTTATCTGGGCTGTAAGGTTCTGACTCTAAAACTGATTTGAGGATGCAAATGAAATTAAGCTTATAGTGGTACCTATTCTTTAGTGGGTAAACCATCCTTTAGCTCTTTGAGAATTCCATCTCTTTAGAAACATCTACACATACATCTGTAAACGACTTTAAGAAGCTGACGGCCTGCACTGGAGAAACAGATCTGACAAGACTGTTTAAACTGTGGACAGAGCTGGGAACAGAATTCTATCATCTGACTCCCAGTATCACACTGCTTTATTTAATGGTCCTAATGCACCCCATTTAGTAAGACAGTCTAAGAAAGAAAACAGTTGTAAAAAATAATGGTGTCCTTTTATATTACTGCTTCTAAAATTAGAAACCATACAAAAATGAATTGAAAAGTGCCTTTGAACACTCAGAGAGGCAGCACAGGATATCAATTCAAGTTACATTAAGAACTAGAGAACAGTATAAAAAATGGATAAGGTGGAACAAAATTTCAGGTTTTACAGGTTTAGCAATGATTATTTTCTCCGGTATTCATGGTAACCATAATCTATGTGATGTAACCATTTATATCATAATAAAAAACTTACCAATTAATCATGTCTCAATCCCTTAGCTTTCTAAAAGTAAAGAGCATCACAGAGCATTTATTTTGATGGTTTAAAAAATATATCGCTAAATACATGATTACTTACTGATCTAATTCCAGGTAAATTCAGCAGGGATCCGAGGACTGGTACTCTTCTAATAAAGCCAATGACCACAGGAAAGAAGCCCCTGGGAGAGGGAAAGAAGTTCTCAGAATGAACACATTCTTTATGACCAGAATCGTCCGTTAATCACGTAAAAAGAAAGAGTCCTGTTAAAATTCTGAATGTTCCAGAGATCAAAATTCAGTTAACATTTCTTAGCTCTCCCTGGATTTGATCCCTTCCTTAATTATGCCTCTGTAACATTCTGCACATACATCCAGAATGGCACTACTACTACAGCCCACTGTTGTCTTTACAGTCTATTTCCCACACAGCAATGAGAGATTCTCAAAAGCGGATTTGGCACTTAATTCATTTTGGTGTCTCCTGAGGGCAATATGGGGCTTGGCAGACGGAAGACAAATGATACACATTTTTTGAATAAATAATCAAACCAACTTTACTTACAAGGATTCTCTCACATTGTGTACTATTATTTACTTGGGAAGTGGCATTTGTAAAATATTGACTGATCAAAACCTCCCATGATGTATTTGCTCCAAAATTTTCTAACATCTATATGCACTAAAGGAAGTGCCAGCAAGTGGCAGTGAGTATGCATATCAAGTTTTAAGTATTAAAGTGCTGGATCGAGCTGTGTTATCTATCGCTGTGTAGTTGATTAAAATGGCAAACATAAAGAGAGTGCCTTAAAATGCCAACAAAATGTATTTTATTGCATTGAAAATACATTATGGGGGGGGCGATAAATTAGGAATTTGGGATTAGCAGATACAAACTACTATATATAAAGCAGATAAACACAAGGACCTACTGTATAGCACAGGGAACTATATTCAATATCTATAATAACCTCTAATGGAGAAGAATCTGAAAAAGGATATGTATGTATGTGTGTAAGTGAATCACATTCCTATATACTGGAAACACTGTAAACCAATTATACTTCAATAAAAAATTTTAAAAAAGAAAATACAAGATAATTTATATCTTTACATAAGCAATCTACATTTAACAAACACATCTGGGTTTCTGTAATAAGTATTGGACTTAATGGTTTCCTGAAAGAGAAAAAAATAAAATAAAATGGTTGCCTTACCTGAACAAGAGAAAGAATCCATAAATTTCGAAGATCATGCCTATCAAAGGCCAACCAATGAGGACTACAAATACACCGCCCAGGAAGAACCCTGTCGCTTTCATTTTATGTTTTTGGAAGAAGAATCTGAATGTTCGTTCTAAACCAATTACAAAAGCCAAGCCAGCCACGAATAAGACCTAGAAGAGAAAGGAAATGCGACATAGAAGAAGCAGTGAAATGCACTGCATAAATCTGAAAAGTAAGGTCAAAGCTAAATATAATAAAAAGTAGGATGAGTGGCTTTTAATGTGGGGAACTGGCTGGAGAAAACTACAATGTACACCAAGAGGTGGAACCGTGCTGCCGCTGCAGTTGTAACCCACTCCTGTCAGCCCCCTTCTAGCTTGATGACATGACGAAGAGAAACAAAGAAAGATCAGGTGTTACCAGTGGGCACCCGCATCTGCAGTGGTTTCCCCAGCTTTGGCTAGAGGGAGATGACTTAGTCAAGCAGATGAGTGAGCAGCAAGGCAAAAGAGCTGCCCAAAAATGTGTCACCTGAAGGTACTCTTCATTCTGAAAGCATCGTGGGGGCTACGGGAGTTCCTAGGGATGGGAGGGGAGACATACTGACATGGCCAAGTTGGTGGTAGAAGAAACCATGCAAAGCCAGCAAGAAGAGCCTAGTTTTATTAACTCCAGAAATCTGGTAGCAGCAGAAATGAAATACAGCCATGCGTTCTCAGGTGTACTTATATAGTTTGCATGTTTTCAGACAATGGACAAAAACTGGTGATCTACTAAAAGCTTGCGTTTCCCCAGGTTTTATTCCCAAATGTTTGCCTTTCTTCATTACAATTCTTTAGTGAAACATATTTCACAAATATTTATTAAGACTCATGGTTAAGCTTCATATTCTGAGATACCAATACTGTTTATATTACTGTTTATCAAAACCTCAGTTTTGAACACTTTGGTTATTCTTTATATTTTCCAATGTCCAATTAAAAGCCCGATGTTAATGTACACTTCAAAAATATTTAATCATTATTCAATGACTCTACTGGCCTCTGAGAAGGGTTATTATTTATTTCTAGAACTCTTGCACAACCGTCACACATGGACAACGGAGTAAACATTCCAAATAAACAATATACACACTTTTCTTAGCAAGTCAAATATTAACAGTGATATCTATTTTTTAAAGGGTTAAGTGGTTTTTAAAAATCTGTTTATTTTATGCTATTGAAGCAAATGTTAAATCTCAGAGGTATGAAGTCAAAACATGTTAACAAATTTACCAAGACATGGGGCTCTCAAGTCATCTATTTTGAGCTCCTATTTAGAGGCAGTCTTAATTTAATCTACCATACATCACATATCAAACCCTTAACAGAGCAGTTATGAAATTAGAAAACCTCATTAAGCGTTTACCTTTTACTTAAACAGAAAGGTGACAGGTTTCATCCCTGATGGAAACAAGAGAGTGTAACAGGAATCTTCACACGAGCAACAGTGAATTATTTCCCCCAAACTTAATAGCAGGCAATAATTCATTTGTAGTTAAAATTTCCTTATGAATTTTCAAAAATATATTGAAAAACTCACATTTCCGATAGCCAGTAGTGCTTTGTCAAAAAAGAGAATCATTCCAAAGAACAGGAAAAACACTCCAAACCCCGTTAACCCCATTCCGATCTCTGCAATGCAAGTTACATGGTTAAGGGTAGAGAAACATCAAAGTTACGTTAAGATCACTGTTAACTAAGAAAAAATTTTCAGTTTTCCTTTTGACCCATATGAAGAAACAGGACCCCAGCACTGCAGGTTAAGTTTATAATGACATTTATTAAGACCTATAACAAATTATATTAACATCAGCAAATTACCCCCCCAATTTAAAATATGAATGGAAATCTCTAATACTTATATGAGAGATAGCATTTCTCATAAATATACTCACAATAGAGAAAGATGAATCAGGATTCTAAACCTTTGGTTATGTTTTTTCCCTCCCAAGAACCCTTCTGGCATCAGACATACATATGCGGGTTTACGTTTCGTCTCCTTTTCTCCTTTCGCGGTCCACAACTAGCATTTATATGCACAATACCTGCAGCTCCTTCTTTCCTCTCTTAAAACAAATTCCTTCCTTAACCTACTAGAAATGCTATAAGAGGTCACAACAGACCTCACTCAGTTACCCCCTGCTTCTCACAATGGCAACAGGAAAGATTTTGAAAATCAAGCAGCTGTCTCCGTAAAAGTGAACTTTCAAGTTAGGCATCACTTTTAACATCCTGATAGCTTATGATTTATCTTCTACAAACTTGTCTCAACTATGAATCCATTCACATATTTAGTGTTATATTCCTAAAATCACCTCTCCAACATTTCAAATGGTTTTACCTAATATTAATATTCTGGGTTTTCACTCTTTCATTCAAAAACAAAGAATTGTTGACCAACTCCTAGACGCCAACAACTGTTCTAGGTACTGAATACAGAGTGATGGACAAAGTATAAGCTTTTTAAGCCTATGGTTGCCCTTTAGATAAAACTAATAATTTTACTGCCTTTACACTCTAGACTTACCTTTAAGTCTGAAGAGTCTTAACTCTCTAAGGTTACAGTTGTACTGCTCTGTTAATGTTACAAAGCACAATCCACCAAATTATGTCCTTGATCATTTTAGTTTTGTTTTCAGGAAATAGTCACCAACCCTTATTTTACCCGTCAACACTACCTGCATAACATAATGAATCAGAGCAGAAGCCACCATATTTTTGGAAACATAATTTTAAATACACAATAGTGATTTTTGATCTGTTACTTAACTTTTTTGCCTCGGCTCCAGAAAGCTAAAATCTAGGTCACAGCTACTTCAAAATTTAAGGCATGTAAAATGTTCTGATGAGTTGAAAATTTCTATCATATGCCTTTTTCAACAGCCTTCACCTTCTCAATTTACAGTTAACTACTGCCTTCTGTTCCAGCTATCCTTTACTCTGAAAGTTAGTCTAAAAGAATTCAGGTGCCTGTCCATAAATATACTGCTAAGTGTATTCCACAAACTGCTATGAAAATTGGAGGCTCATATTTTTCATGCTTAAAAGATACGCTGAGTCCAATGACAGTCACTGTTAGCATTTTTTGGTATCTTATTTAAGATATTTTAAGGCAGCATTTGTCTTTCTTACAATGCCCTTTAAAAAAGAAAAAACATCATAATAAAGAACTCAATTGAATATCATGGTAGAACTTCAGGTAATGTGACATAATGAAGTAAAGAGCTCAAGGCAGCATAGGAGATACTTGGCTCCAACCTACCAATGAAGATTTTGGGTTTTTTGGGGGGTGGGGGGCTGGGGCAGGGAGTGCAAGTATAGAACCCCTTAAAACAATCAGGAATTGCTATTTATTCTGATCAGTACTTGGTCACCCTTTCCCAGAATCAGGATCCCAGACTAATCTTGGCAAATCACGTGAATGATGGCCAATCCCTACGATTAAACACACACACGAACACAATTTGAAATCCAAAGAGCTTTTGGTTCACTAATCATTTTGTGTTCCCATCCACTGTCCTATCTAAAACATCTGGCAAACGAACAGCAAAGAGTATAATCACCCTCTTCATCAGTTTAATGAAGTGAGGAGAACGCTTCCTATTCTGCCCATATGCCAACCCAACCCCTTGTTTTGGTTTTCGGAAGGATGTACATCATGCACTTCACCCTATAAGACTTCGATAGAAGAGAAAATCTATGCACAGGATAAATAATTCATATTTTTATCAATGTAATAACCTCAAGCTCAGATAGGAGTATTAACAGTTAAGATAGGAAAACTATATAGTGATTTAGTACTTCCTTGAGTAATTAGTAGTATTAGACATAAATTCTATCAATTTTTACAATTCTGCTAAATTCTTTGGACTTTAAATTCTGGGAACAGAGCACTGTGCACCATAAAGTAAACAGGCTCTGAATATCCTACAAAATCTCTCAAAAAAAATCAATGCACAATTCTATAGGATATATATTTACTGTTGAAACTGCTTTTTTTTTTTTGCTATGGGAGAATTTCATCATTCTAAGATAGATTTCAAATAAAGTTCATATATAGATGCTAATGGGGTACAGTGGGAAAAAAACAAAACAAAGATTTTTGAGCCAGTAGACCTAGGATCAATTCTTGTTTCTGTCACTTGCCTCATGATTATACACCGAATTTCTTTTGAGTCTCCTTTAATTTATAAAAGAGACGTAAGTCTTCTTTGCCTTACAGGGCTCTTAGATGAATTAAGGATAATGATTTATACGAAAGCACGTGGTAAACCGAAACAAGATGCTTTTATGCAATTTTATACAATTGCTAGTTTTATTATAACAGTACACTGACAAAACAAAACACGAATCCCCCAAAACCCCCAAACAAAAAAGGACTATACTTATATTTTCTCTGATCAGAACAGGTAGACCAAAATGGGCACCCAAGGTACAGACTGTCCAACCTGACTAGGGTGGCCAGTGTGTGCAGGAGATTATCAGAAGCTCCCCTGAAGTTCAAGTTAGCTATGACAAGTTAGCCAAACCTTAAGACTCCACTTTAAAGCAGGGCATTTTTAACGGAAGTTCTATTTTTTATTTCAGCAGACTGTTTACTTCTAAAAATCTTGAAAATTCAAGTAAGTTATACAGACTAAGGAGGAAAAAAGGCGTGGCAGATCAAACAAAGAGAAATAAAAAGACGACCACGACCATCAGAAGACAGGAAGAGCCGGGCTGGCAGATATGTAATTACAAAATTATTAAGACTGACAAAAAGGGGAAGAAAAGTGGAAATGTTACACTGAAGGAAAGAAAACAGCAATGCTAATCTCAGAGACAAGCCTGGAGAACTCTGGCAGGCAGAAAAAGATGCTAAAATAATAAAATGTGCCACAAGTACAATATACAGTATTAAGGAAATAGATCGTTTCACTGAACACAAAGTGGCTTTTTTTTTTTTTTACTACTGTGGAGACATTAGCCGGTAGAAAAGTGAAGTTGTTGCAAGGGATTTTTAAAAGGCTGCTTCCAGTGGTGGCAAAAAGGCAAATATTCAAAATATTTAAGCGTAAGCACATTTTCAAAAAGAGCCTACCACAGGTGACATTTAACACGCAGCCTCCCAAACAACCAGCAGTAACTTGCTGAGGACCCCGAGTGTGTCATGTGCAGAACTGTCCCCAAGACGGGCCGCGGGCACGCGCAGCAAACTTTCTCAGCCGCTCGCAGGAACAAAGCGCCCATCGCCCTGGGAGTGAGAGCGGCGCGACCCCGGCGCGAGAAGAAGAAAAGCTCCCCCTCCCCAGCTCGGGCGCCTCCCCAGACTCCACCGACTCCTCTCCCGGGCCAGACTCGCCCCTGCAAGTCCAGCCCCCGGCTCCTCAAGGCGGCCTCCAGGCGCCCGCAGCCTTAGCTGGGTCTCCAGGCCGCCGCTCCTAACGGGGAGCTTCATTCATTGACCCCGGCGGGCGGAGGGGCGGGCGAGACCCAGCCCGAGCAAGGGGTGTGCGGGGCTCGAGGCGAGGATCCTGGGGCAGGTGCTTACTCTGGGTGTCCGTTAAGGAGATCATGGCTGCAGGGGTGAGGGCGGCGGCGACAACACCTCGGGGCTCCCAGGGTGTGAGGCGAAGTCGGGCGAAATGAAGCCGGGAAGCAGCCCAGGCGAGAGCCGCCACGTCTTCCGGAAACACGCAGCCACCCCCACCCCACTTCAAGGCCTCTTCCCATTGGTGTAACGTGCTCCCAACGTCAACCAATAATCTGTAATCTTGTTCAGTGACGCAAATGGTGGCCACACCCTTCAGCCAATAAGAGAAGGATGTTACTTGCAATTGGTTGAACTGACCGACCCGGAAGGGTGGATGCTCCCGGCTGGAGAGAAAGGAAAGCCCGGTGGCGGGAAGTTTTTACCCGAGCGCGGCTGACAGCGGTGCGTAGCGGACCTGAATCTGGGGGTCGGAGACCGGGGCGGGGAGGGCGTTCCTTAACCCTTTGGGGAGAGGTTCGGGGGAACTCCTTTTACCACTTTGAAAGGCCTGATAATTTCTTTTACTGCCTGATGGGGAGGCAGGGTCACTTCCTTCCACCAAGTCATTGGCAAGGGAGAAACGGGGGCCCCCGCCCCTCTCATGGAACTCTCCATCCCTGCCCAGCTGTAATGGAACTCGGGCCTTCAGGGGCACGTTCCACTGCCGACCGGTCTCTTTTTATCGCTAGTCTTTTCCATGCAGGAGGCTTGGTCACCAAAACTGTTTATTTGCAACCACTGTTTATTGGGCAACGCCTTTGGGGAGTGTGTGTGTGTGTGTGTGTGTGTGTGTGTGTGTGTGTGTGTGTGTGTGTGTGTGTGTGTGTGGTAGGAAGGAGGGAGGAGGAGGAGGAGGAGGAGGAGAGGAGGAGGGGAGGGGAGGAGAGGAGGAGGAGGGAGGGGAAGGAAGAAGGAGGGAAGGGAGGGG